TTGGTCAAATGTTATCTTTATAGATTTCTGTCTATGAGGTTATTTCAGAAAAGCGGACATTAGCTTGTATCAAGGAGGGCAAACCCTTTGAGGAGCTGGGCGGAGGGGGGGGGGGTAGAAGATACCCCGAACCTGAAAACAATTGTCTTTATTCTTATAGAGGAGAAAGAAAATACTCCCACATAAAACTTGATGTAATAGAAATAACCTGAAGGCACAGGCCTGTTTTAAAGGCACAATAAACCTAAGCAACTTTGATTCACAATTTTTAATAGCTTGAAGCTCTGTGTGACGGTTCATACTATTTATTATTCAGTGCTTAGTTGCCAGACACTCCTCAGGAATGTAAATCTCCTCCTAAAATTTAATTTTATAGGAGTCTGTGAAAAGCCTACTCAAAATGGAGGAAGCAGGAAGGACCCAGTGAGCAATCAGCCAACTTATCTGTGCACTAGATTGAAATTCAGATGCCTTTTGGAGCGTAATTAAAAGTAGCCAGTATGAAAAAAAGTGATAAAAATTTGATTATGTGGTTTCACTGATCACTAGTTTGTTCTCCAAAATAGAACATATAATTACTATTTGGTTTCTTTTCTGGAAAGAGGACACTGCTGGAATATTTTAATCGAGGCTGGTGGTGAATGGTCGGCCAGACTCTTAGTTTATTAGACGTCTGCCCCTTCAGCCTCAGTGCAAATAATGTGGGGACAAATTTTAAAAATATCCATCACAAGATCCCTTTCATGTTAAACCACTGCTAACTTCATACAGGTTTTCAAATGATGCTCAAGGGACTTGGTTTCCCTTCCTCATGTGTGATCATTTGTGCAGCCATAAATCTAAGTGTGTGTGCAGGTGTGCATTTTAAAGTAAGTTACTCTTTGAGAAAATACCTTTACAGATGAATTTTCCTGAGAGTCTCTTCTTTGTTTTCTGCCAGCTTAATCTGTGCTATTGCCACCTTTTCCCACATTCAGACTTTATTGAAACTCATGTACGGATTTGTTTTAGCATCAAAGGGCTAGTGGATTGGTAGCTGTTGGACCCCATCATCTCTCTAGTGCAAAGCCTGCCCCAGGTGCATAATTTGCGGTAACTTCCAACGACATTCAGATTGTGCCTTTTTTGCCAGATGCATAAAAGAGCCCTTTGTGCGGAGAAATATTAACAGCCATTTACTCGCACATGTGGGTATTCATTGATTCTCCCCAGGTGATAAGGCTCTCCACAGCTATTCTACTTGAGCTGGTCCTACCCCATGAATATTTTTCTAAGATCTAAGGTAAAAAAAAAATGGATGCTTTATTTTCTGGTTCAAAAAAAATTGTTTAGATTCTATTGGGAGTAACCCTCTTAAGTCGTTTATAAGTGTGAACACTGGCCTCAGTTCTTTCTTTCCTTTTTTTTTTTTTTTGCCTTTTTCAAAATTTTGGTAAAAAACACACAGCAAAAGATGTACCATTTTAGCCATTTTTAAGTGTACAGTTCAGTGGCGTTCAGTACATTCACAATGTTGTGTAACCATCACCATCCATTTTACATTCTGTGGTATGATTTTTGAACAGTATTACTTCTTTATTGCAGTACAGTAGATTTATGTTATATTGGTTTCTGGTGTACAGCATAGTGACTGAGTTACACATACATATTTTTTCCTATTTTTAATTATAGGTTATTGCAAGTCATTGAATATAGTTCACTGTGCTATACAGAGGACCTTGCTTATTCTGTATATAGTATGTATCTGCTAATCCCAAACTCCCAGTTTATCTCTCCCCTCCTCTCCCTTTGATGACCATAAGTTTGTTTTCTGTGTCTGTGAGTCTCTTTTCAACAGAGTTACTTTTAATGTGAAGTTGAAAAAATTCACTGGAGACAAATGTAAAGAAATGATGTTGTGGATTGACTAAGTGAAGCCACCCTTGGAAGGAAAGGGGAGATCATTTTCCTTAAAGAATGAGGATAAAATGCTTTTCCTGCTTCCCTTCTCTGAAATGGTTTCTCTGCAGCTCAGTTTCGCCCTGGGTGCATCAATAAACCCAGACACTTCTACACCAACTCCTAAAGGAAAGGGAAACAGAGACCCTGAACTTTGGTATCGTGATGTCTAGAAGCACTTTAGGCTGGAGCTGCCTGGTGTAAATTGGGGTGTTAGTGCTATGTCCATCTGCCCATGAAATTATCATGTAGTGACGGCGTTTCAGCCCTTATAACCTTCTAGTAATACCACATGCTGACTTTCCTTATATCCCAGAATATAGCCAGTGCTCACCGGAGAATTCATATAATGCATTGAAGGCATCTATTTTATAGATGAATTTTAGGAGCTAAAATATCATTCAAACTCTAACTTCTCCCTGTATAAAACATTTTGTCCCATGAAAAGTCCTTTCGCATCAAAGATTTATCCAGAATAATCAATTTTAAGGAAATCTGTAAGACTTGAGAACAGACTCATTTATTAGGTAGATTCCAACATCTATTTCCAGTCTCTTCTTATTACCAACATATGCTCAGTGTGATCGCAGAAATCTCTGCTGACTCAGTAAAGGTCCTCTGCCTCTTAGTGTATTATTGTACAAAGAGCTTAGCTGAACATCTTCCCATAAAGCCAGCCATTGTAGATTGATTTTTTACATGTTTAGACTTCCAGCAATGAACCGTAGAGTCATTTCCCAGACTCTGTGAATCTCGATGAAGTTATCAAATTCACTTGGTTCCGGGAATTCTTTGGGAAACACAAGTGCTTGCCAGCTGGTCAGATAATTGGTGGTTCATTTTGTAACAAATAGGAAACATCCAGAATTGTGAGAAAGATGGTGAAACTGGAATGTGGTCTTCTCCTCAGATCTTATGATAGAGGAATTTTCCCACAAATTCTTAGCCCCTGGCCTGTTTTTATCATGGTCTGATTAGTGTTTGCCAACTTTACTGGACAGGGAGGAGGGCCTCATACAAGTGGCTCTTTGGAGGTAGGTGTGAGAACGTGAACCCAAGGCCCCCGTGAGCTGGGCTGGTGAATTCCCAAGTGCTCTCAGTATGACCTAGGGCACCTTGCTGTGTGCCAAAGAGGTGAGAAGTAATTTGGTGACCAGTAATGCAGGCAGCTAGTAAGTCCACTGGGTAAATGCAGGTGTGTGCGTGCGGGTGTTGGGTGTGTATGTTTGACAGACATGAATGGGGTTTTCACACATTACTTCTGCCACCAGTGCAAGTGACATGACTCTCCTGGTTACCCCTGGACCAGACATTCAAAGTCTAGAGCCTGATGAGTTTGGGATTATCCATGGAGAACACTTCCTGCCCTTAGACAGCTGTGAATATCTTCTGGATTTCAATAAGGAGGAACATGGGAGCATAAAGTGGTGTCTGTTTTGTTTTTTTTTTAAAAAGCTTTATTGTTGGACATGGAAGCATCTTTGAGGTCCCTCAGATCGCACTGTTGGGCAGCCTCGTGGACATGCCCATCATGGTACTTGCCAGGTCCTGACTCCTACTGCTCGTTGGTCCCCTGGGTGACTGACTGGTTCCTGCACTGCTCTGCTCTTACCAGAGGGGAGGTGAAAGTAGAAAACCAGTAACTGGAGACGACAATGTCTTTGAAACATTTTTCTTGCAGTGTTTGATCTGTGAGGTGGAATTGGATCTGTTTTGCTAGTGAGTCATTAGAAATCAACCAGATAGTGAAGAGAAACAAAAGCATATGATTCTAAGCTCTTCAGAGTAAAAACTGGGTTCTTGTATATCATCTTCCCTTTCCCTATAGATTCAGTATATAGAAAATACACATACAGTGTTGATTTCAGCAGAGGTTGAGTGACAGGTGCTTTGCTAGCCAACAGGAATATGGAGGTGACAAGTGGCCCAGAGTTGAACTGGGAGACAGGCTTACAGATACTTAGCTACACATCATACAGTGGAATGAGTAATTTTAGTCATTCATTCATTCATTTCAACAAAACGGTTTGGTGTTTAGCCATCGCAGGTAGGAGGCCTTTACCCTGAGTGCATATGCGGTCTAGATGAGTCTGTACAAAGTCTAGAGAAGAAAGTTATATGTTCTGCTGCATTTGTGGAGGGGACAAGAGGAACATGGCCAGGCTTTCAACTGCCGCAGAAAGGGCTGGGTTGGTGAATTGAAAACTTAGAGCCACACAAAACTGCCCACAAATATGTCTAGCAGCTTTATTAGTAATTACCAAAACTTGGGCAACTGAAATGTCCTTCCATAGGTGAATGGACAAGCAAACTGGGGTCCATCCACACAGTGGCATATTATTCAGCAATAAAAAGGAATGAACCGTCAAGCCATGACAAGAATGGAGGATGCTAAGTGAAAGAAGCCAGTCTGAAAGGTCTACACACTATGATCCCAACTCTGGCATTCTGAAAGAGGCAAAACCATAGAGACAGTAGAAAGATCAGTGGTTGCCAGGGGCTTGCGGGGGAGGAAGGTGAGGGTGAAATGGGGGGCATGGGAGTTTTAGCTGGTGAAACCCCCCCGTATGGTCCTGTTCTGGGGTCTATATGATATTATGCATTGGTTGAAACCCATAGAACAACACAAGAGTGAACCCTAATGTACACAATGGACTTTAGGTGATCATAGTGTATCAGCGTTGGCTCAGCCATTATAGCAAGTGCACCACATTATTGTGGGATGTTAGTAACAGGGGACACGTGGGGAGAGGTGTATGGGAACTCTCTGCATGCACTTCCTGCTCAATTTTCTGTCAACCTGAAAATGAAATAAAAGTAAATGAAGAAGTCTATTTTTTTTAAAAGGGGATAGTTCCTGGGTCTGGGGAGATGAGAAGACGGCAGAGATTAGCGTGTAAGCGTGAGAGCAGCAGGACGGGCGGACCAGCAGTGTGCACGGGGCTGGTGGTGGCTGGCCTGCTGCTCCAGCCTCAGGAATGAGGGACTTTTGTGGTGGGGCCGCGGTTTGTTTCCATAGCTGCCTGTCTCAGAGGCGTAACTCCTGCTGTTTCTGTTCCCAGCAAAGAGCCCCCGGGAAAGTGCTGCTGGACGCCGTGTGCAACCACCTCAACCTTGTGGAAGGAGACTATTTTGGCCTCGAGTTTCCCGACCACAAAAAGATCACGGTAGGTGATTTCGATGTGATGTTGCTGTTTTGCCCTCTCTTCGACCTGGGAGAGGGGAATCACTGAGACCTTTCCTTGCCATACAGAAACGTACACAGGAAGAAGTACCCAGAAGGCCCTTGATAATGTTTTTGAAAGTACTGTGTGCCTATGATTAGCAAGTTCAAAGAGAACATGGCGAAAGGACTGTCTCCCTGTCACCCTCTCCCTCCAGGAACCACCATCCCCAGTGTCCATGTATCCTTCTGGTAAAAGTCTTGAGTATATATACACACAAACGCAGATTGGTGGAAGAGCTTTCCTTCGCAGCATATAGAACCCACTTTCTTCCTTTTCACAGTTTCCTGCTCTTCCGCTGAGTCGATGTGCTGTAACGTCCGACCTTTGCTGTAGAGGCTGGGGTACTTAGGTTGCACTGAATCGTTGGCCATCACAGATAATTTTTCAGTGAATGTGGCTCGTGCGTCGTGTCTGCACTCACGGCCAAGGGTTTCTTTTAGTGATTCAGATCCAAAGGCACGGAATTGTGTCATCCATGAGTTCGACCATGTTAAAGTGTGCTAAGTATGTCATGTTGTTCTTTAAAAAGGTTTCACTGATTTGCACACAAATTTTAGAGCAAAGCTTTACCGTTCTTTTTTTCCCTTTTGGCTGATGGCACTTTCTTAAGGCTGTATCCGAGTCTACCTCTCATTAGACACCATTTGCGGGTATAAGTTCATTGACTGTATTTCTATTTATCCTTTCATTCAGTGCACACTGAGTGCCTGGAACTTTTGCTAGCCACTGCGCTGGGGACCCAATAGAAATGAGATGGAGAGAATGTGGAATCCAGGTGGGGCGTCAAACTGAGGCAGTGGCCAGTTCAGGACGCGTGACAGGTGCTCCACTGGAGTCAGGGACCATTGGACAGTGAGGGCAGCAAGTGACATTTTGGGAAATCCTTCCCAGATACTGCAAAACTGAGTCCTGTGAAGCCAGTAGGAGTTGACTTGATAGGTTGTTCCTGGGAGAGGGGACACCAGATGCACAAAGACCAGAAAGCAAGTGGGCTACCCAGGGTCCTGCAGATTGGGCTGAAGTTGAGAGGTGGGGGGAGGAGGGCTCTGCCGAAGAACATGAGAGAGAAAACATTAAAAGTTAAGCAGGGAGCCAGATGTACCTCAAAGAGCTTTCTGTACCATTGGTATCCAGAAGAAATAAATTGTGAACCACATACTTAATTTCAATTGTTTAGCAGTTATGTTAATCAAGTTTTTAAACAATAAAATCAATTTAAAAGTCAATTAAATTTAATTTGTTTCATCCAAAATCATCATTTCAACATGGAGTCAATATCGAAACCTATGAATGAGAAATTTGACTTTTTTTTTTCATGCTGAGTCTTTGAATCTGATATGTATGTGACACTCACAGCCATCTGGATTCAGATGGGCTGTATTTCAAGTGCTCAGTGGTCACGTGGAGCCAGCGGCCATTGTGTTGGACAGCACAGTTCTGCACCAAGCTAATGTGTTTGGGAAGCTGTTAATGCATTTTAAAGGGAGTATGATACGATCTGATTTATGGTTTAGAAAGAGAACTGTGGCCAGATTGGAATAGAGTAAGACTAGAATCGTGAGAGCTGTTCGAGGCTCACAGTATTGGGCTGGAGACGGTGTATCTGGAACTAACGCAGAGTTGAGGGCATGGCTGAAGGGAGCGGGTAGCAGTTAGAGATGTGATGAAACGAATGGGCTTGTGAGAGAAAGTGGCTTCCAGAGCTCAGTTTTCCAGCTTTGCCGCCTGAGCAGACAGGGGTGCCAGTTGCTGGCATTCTGACCCAGACATGAGGGGTCAGGGGATCAGTGGACGCTGCAGTGGAGACGTCCAGCAGCCAGTACCAGTAGCTGGGTCTCCTAGAGCACTGGAAAGAGATCTGAACTGAAATTCAGATTCAAAAATTACATGATTATTTCAAATATCAACTGAAGCTCTGAAACCAGAAGAGAGTGTAGAGAGTAAGAAGAAGGGAAGAGCAGAACAGCAGCACTTAAGGGATGGAGAGAGAAGGAAGAACCCTCAGCGGAGGCGTGTAGATGGGGAGGCAGGAGACCAGGAGGGGAATCCGAGAGCCACGGGCAAGGCGTTGTGGGAGGGCGTGGACAGGAGAGGAGGTAGGTGGTGAGCGAGCCACCTGGTTATGCACCGAAAAGTGGACACAGGTTGTGTTTCTCAACATACTCCTACCTCCAAGCACTCTACCATTTTCTAATACTTATACTTAATCTAAGCTGCCCTGACTCCCAGCCGTCTTTCTGATGGGACAAATGACCACAGACAGGCCGTATTCTAATTCCACATTCATTTATTCATCTAATAATTATTTTGTGCCAACGTGGTATCCAGCCTCACACGTCATACTGCGGAAGGCACAGGATATGAAGGGACAGGTAGCAAGTAACAGCTACAGTTTCCAGTCATTAGAAGTGCAGGCTTAGAAAGGTCGACAAGGAAACAAATAATTATAATACGAGGTAGCAAGTTCAGTGGAAGACTGTTTCATAAGCTTGTTTTCTGTTAAAATAATGATTCTCGGAACACCTGAAGATTTGTTCTTTCATTATTTCTAACAACCTTGCCCGCATTACTCAAGGTCCCAGTGGCTTTCCTGACTCCAGTCTTGTCCTGTTCCAGTCCAGCTGGAGTTGCCTCTCTAAACCATAAATCAGCCAGGATGAGGGTACTAAGACTCTGAGAATTGTTCTATATCTGGGTCAACCAAGTTGCTAATGGCGGGGCTACAAGTCTAACCATGTTCTTCGGGCCTCAAGTTCAATGCCCTTTGTGTTAACCGTAGGTGCTTCTCTTCTGCTGGATTTACATACCTGTTGACCTTCCTCCAGGGCTGACTTATTTCAAGTTTCATCAGGCTTGATTTTCATGGCTTCACCATTTCCTTATCATACTTTTCAGGAATGTGTTCAACTGCGAAATTCAGCAAACCCACCAGTGATGACTTTACTAGATATTGTTACCAGTAGTGCAAAGAAAGGCCCCTACACGAGTGTTTACTGTGCGCCGGGTGGTTCTAGTCCCTGTGGACACAATGGCAAACATGGCCCACATCCTTTATAAAGCCAGGACCAGCAAGCTTTCTCTGTAAAGGGCCAGATAGTAAATACTGTAAGAGACTTTGCAGGCCAGAGGGTGTCTACTGTGACTGTTCAGACCTGCCCTTGGGATGTACATGAATGGGCATGGATTTGTTCCAGTAGAGCTTCATTTATAAAATAGGAAGCTATAGTTTGCCAGCATACCTGCTAGGAAGTATTAACTCTGTGCAAGTCACCAGAAATAGGTTGATGTGCAGTATTTCATTTATTCCTGCTCATTTATCCCAGCCCATTATATCTCCTTTCTCTAATAAGAAAGATAGGGCTTAAAGAAGGTAAGTCATTTTCCACAAAGGCACGCAGCTAGGCCACGACTGAGCCGGAATTCAAGTTCAGGTCTGTCTAAATACAAGCCCACATGCTCTCAGTCACCATTCTGCTCTGACTGTATCTCTAGTTTGCTCTGTGTCAATTGAAAATCACAATTTCACATAATTTTTTTAAAAGCAAAATTCACATAATTTTACATGATGAAAGCTGATTTCACATAATTAAAAAAATAGGTTGTTGTGACAAAATGGATCTGTGATGTTAGATGGGGTGGTGTAAGTGACTGGTTTGGGTACAGGAGGGCTTCTGGGGTCCTGGCCATGTTCTGTTTCTTGATCTCAGTGCTGTTTCCGTGGGTGTAATCAGTTCCGTGGGTGTAGTGAGCCAGTGGGAAGGGTACAGCTCAGAGGTAGAGTGCATGCTTAGCATGCACGAGGTCCTGGGTTCAGTCCCCAGTAGTGCCATATTAAATAAGGAAATAAATAAACCTGATTATTTCCTCCTAAAAATAATAATAATAAAATAAATTTATTTTAAAGAAAAAGCAGTGAGCTGTACACTTGCAACATGTGCATTTACAGCATGTTGTGTGTATATACACAATTTCCAATAAAAGTGTTCCTCAACAATACAGTGAAATAATAACACAGGAGCAGAAATAATGACCCAGAAGCACCCAGAGGCTGGCTGACGGCTGATGGACTCTGTTTTGAAAGAGCCAAGGACAAGTCTTGATCTCATGGACGGAGGGAGAGCCACTCACAGTGAGAGTAGTAAACAGTAGCTGGTTTCCCAGGAGGTGGGTTTTTGAAAGGATCAAACATGGTAATATCTGTCGGCATGTAGCCCAGTGTCTGGGTCCTGTATATGTGGTGTTCAGAAAGTATTAGTTATAGAAGCTATCATCATCATCATTTTCATCATCACTATTTTTTTTATTGTGATCAGAAACAGATAACATGAACCTTACTGCCTTAACCATTTTTAAGTAAGCGTACAGTACCTGAGTGTTAACTACCTTCACATCGCTGGTATGCCTCTAGAACTTTTCATCATGTGAAACTGAAACTCCGTACCTGTCAGCTCCCTTTCCTCCTCCCTCCAGCCCCTGCAACCACCATTGTACTTTCTGTTCCTATGAATGTGGCCACTTTAGATACCGCATATAAGTGGACTTGCAGAATTTGTTGTTTTGAGTCTGGCTTATTTCACTTAGTGTAATGTCCTCAAAGTCCATCCTGTGCTCCATCCGTGTTGCAGTGCGTGTCAGAATCTCCTTCCCTTCTGAGGCTGATGGATATTCCATTGTGTGGGTGTACTGCATTTTGCTGACTTATGTCATCATCTGATGCTGGCCATTTAGGTTGCTTCCCCCTCGGTTGTGAATAATGCTGCAAGGAGCATGGGTGTGTTGTCGTGAGATTATTACCTTTGCCAGGCTTCCTTTGCGGGGTTGCTCACATATCTGACAAACTACTATGAAGCTGGGTTGGTCTCAAAATGCCCAGGCATGGGCTGTCACAACTGGTTTTACCCATTTTTCTGTACGTGATAAATGGGAAACGAATTGTTCCC